ACTTTTCCATTAACCAACTATCAGATGATGCTTTAATAGGATCGTATTCTCTTACACCCAAAAATGGTGTTTATTAAATCAATTCATTTTATTTACATTTGGAAATCTTAGATCTTAAATCATTTTATCCAAACTTTTTCATACTATCTAAGATACTATATTTTTCATTTAAATTTTAATCTAAATTTATTTCATCAGTATGATTAGATTCTCTTCTGTATAAACAGGATATGAAGGGATGAGAAAGAGCCTCTAAGGAAGAAATTCTATAATCTGGATTAGGTTCTAAAGATCGCTTTAGTAGATCCAAAGCATCTTCAGAAACCTTCAAATCTTTATAATTTATTTAACAATCTCTGTTTTTCTCTATAATTTCATCAACACTATTTCCATAGAATGGAGCTTGTCCAGATAGTCTAATATTACACTTATAAATACAATATATAGAGAATGATTCCTGCACTAAAGACATCAACCTTCTCATTATATTTCTTATCTTCTAAAATTTCAGGAGCAACATAACCAGGAGTCCCACATCTAGTAATAAGTAGATCAACTTCAGTGTAAGATGCTAAACCAAAATCAGCAATTTTTAAATCAAAATTTTCAGATTTATCTTTTAATAGTATATTCTCAGGTTTTATATCTCTATGCATGATATTCTTAGTTTATAAATATGAATAATTATACTTTTGTATGTAAATATTCTAAAGCATCAAATATTTTGAACATTATCAAAGCCACTTTAGATTCTTAGAAACATTGTGTTTCTAGTATTATGTCAAATAATTCTCCTCCTTCTAATAATTCCATCACTAAATAAATGTAATCGCCACTCTCATAAATTTCATATAATTTAATAATATTAGGATGATCACAAGAACGCAATAAATCGATTTCATTAAGTAATCCTTGCTTTTTAATATCAGTAATAATTTTACTCTTTATTTATTATTTTTGTCCATTAATGCTGATTTTTAGAAGGTCTTAACTGCATATTTATTTTAATTTTATTTTCTTTAGGCTAATAGAACCTTATTTATTCAATATCTTACCTTTGCATAGGTTCCTTTTCCAATAACTTTAAGATTTAAGTAAATATCTCGATAATTATTTAAAATACAAGTCTTTTTGAATTATTCAATCCATTTTTATCTTTGCTCTTATGATTTAGCATTAAATATATATTTTTTGGATCCTGCTAATAATATAATAGGATGTTTATCCTTTTCCAATTGATTTTAAGAATTAAGATCTAAATAGACATTTGTTAAAAATAATGCTGCTACTTCCTTTTATTCTCTGCAATTCTAAAATGTCTTATTATATATATTACATTATAAATGTTCAGTCTATCTGAAAACAACTTAAAAAACTTTGGTTTATAAAAATCATATTTCTTGCTCTTTACAAATAAAGTTCCTTCAAATAATCGTATAGTGGAGATTGGACGTTTAATTGAATTTAATTTCACCCATTAATTCCTTTCATTCGAATTACTAGAATCAAAAAAAAATTATTCCGTTTACATAAATATTTATAATTTTATTATTAATCTTGATCTCTCTATAAAATAATTAAAATGTGAATTTAGATATATATTTATTTAATATAAATATTGACAACAAAAACAAATAAAAATGTTTTTGTTTTTTTTGTTTTATATTTTTATTATTAAAAAAAAATGATGTATTCCAAAGCTGGTAAAATTTCAATTGAACTATTTCCTTGGATACAATAAAGAGATGCTATTATCAATGGAGAGAAAAAAAAAACATATGAAATTTCAATTTTTGATGATATTCCTCATAGTAAAAGACCATATAAAAGTTTCAAAGAAAATACTAAATCATCTCCAAGAGAAACCTCTCAAACAAAAGTTTAACCATTTTCTAAATAAGTTGGAAGGGTGGAATCTAAAAAAGAGTTAGATAGATATGGATTTTATAATCCCAAATATCATTTAGTATAGAAAAGGTCTCCTTTAACTGATGGACCTGATCATTTTAGATAATTAAATAGTGATCGATCTTTATCTTCAAAAACTATTAAAAGATCTATTAAAATATAGAAACCTACTTTAAAACATAATTGCGATACTAGTAAAGAATATTTAGAGAAAAAATAACTGTAAGAAGAAAGAAAGCTAAGAGCACAAGAATATTAACCAGATCTAAATAGATTCCCTTTACCAGAAGGACCAAATGAACATAGATTTGAATACTAACAATACCCTTAATCATAATATCATAGATCTCCAAATCCAATCATTAGACCACGATCTAGTTCTTCTAAATTGAAATTTAAAGAAGTAAGTATTTAAATTTGATAAAATAATAGTAAAAGAATGGTTAAATTTATGATCTAAATTATACCGTAATCTATCCTAAATCAGATAAGATGATACCTGTATTAGATAAATTGACACCAAGACAACCATTTAATAGTGATAAACCAATATATACATATCATGAAACACTTTCTGATGATACTCCTAAGAAACGAAATAGTCCCTTATCATTTAAATTGGATTAGCAAATTTCTAGAGAAAAAGCAATGAGTTACTATTCCTCTATAAGAAGACTTTATTATTTATGATTATTGCTATTATTATTATTAATATTAAATGTCATATCCCTTTGGTAATTAATTTTCAGCAGGGATGCCTAATGCCAAATACAAAACAACACTTTGTAGACATTATTAAGGTATTATCATTAAGATTATTAGCTACAAGATAATGCGCCATAGGAGCTAAATGCCAATTTGCTCATGGACAAGAGGAAATGAGATCCATAAATGGTATTTATATATTTCTTAATATATAAAGATCCAATTCCTTCTGCTTTAATCACAGTTTTAGCAGTCCCTACATAATATTAAGAAATCATGAAACCTATGATGCCTCAATAACCTGCTTTTAAAAGTATTAAATAACTTTGAAGTTAGTTCCATGTAAATATCATGCTTAAAATTATTGCAAAAATGGATAAAATTGCTAATATTCTCATGGTACTCAAATTTTAAATATCATCAAGATGTCGATATATAACAACCCATGATTCCAAATATGATAAACCCATATCAACCATAATACCCTTAAGTTGATATGAGATAAGAAATTAAGCAAGAAGATCCAATGACTACTGTATTTATCATTATATTATAAACCATGGAATAAATATTTTCGAAAGATGTTAATTATTATAAAATATTTAAGGATATCATATAAAAATTAAAAATTGCCTAAGATCAAGTAAAATGTGGCAATTTGGCAGTTGGTTCAGAATGCATAAAAGCCATTATGACAGATCCCGAAAGAACAGATGATGAAGTAGAATAGTATACTACTATATATAATAATGCATGTTATTATTATAATCAATTGTAATAAGGTTGAAAATTTGTTTTTTTAAATATAACATAAACATATAAATAATTAGATTTAACCAATTTATTTCAATATCTTCTTATAATTTTAAAGTTTATTTAGTTATAAATAATCTCTGATTAAAATAACCTTAATACCCTATATAACTATAAATTTTGAAAATATTGGATCCAAAAGATTATCTATAATAAAACTTATTAGTTTTTATATCTATAAATTAATCTATTTTTATTATACTTTTGAAATCAAATTTATTGTGTGTTTTACTTGAAATGAAAAGCTAGGATTAGATTTTGAGTTTTTTAATGTCCTTTTAATTGCTAAGTATAATTCTGCTATAATTTATATTATTGATTTAATCCAGTTACTGTTAATTCATAATAATTAATTTAATGTAAAATTGAGTGGGTTCCTTCTTCATACAATTATTTTAATTAAATGTTCTCTTAATTTAATTGTTTATATATTTTTATTAATTTATTGCTATTCATTAATAATAAGATTCTCAAACTTCATTTAATCAATTCGATTCTATAATTATTTAATTAGTTTTGAATAGATTTTTCATTAAAAAAGGTTCAATTTAAATTATTATGGTTGATAGTTGTGTGAAGTATTGATTTATTTTATTTGTTATTGTTATTAAATAAGGGATTTAGTAATAAAGAATAGTCATATATTAATTAGCTATATATCTACTTTAAAGTTTTAAAATATGTCCCAAATCTGACATTTTCTTTTCATATAGATGTAATTAGATTTAAAAAGTATTGTTTCTTTGATAAGATCCTGCACTAAATCTTAATTTTGCTATTCATTTTAATAAATTAATATATATATATTCAAAATGAATGAAATAGAACAATAAGAAGCATCACATTATTCAACTATAAATGAATTAAAATCAGAAATATAAGTTGTGTCTCAAAAGGAAGATCATTCTATAATAAAGTCAGACAATATAATAAATTTTGATGATACCTTAACTCAAATAGGGTTTGGAAGATTTTAAATAATGCAATACCTAGTATCAATAATTTTGGGAATAATGGAAGGAGCATAAATTACAATTTTTACTCTAATGATACCAATACTAAAAAAAGAATGGGATATATCAGAATCTATAGTGAGTTTATAAACAAGTTTTATTTTTATGGGATTTCTAGTTGGATCTATGCTATCAGGTTAATTTACTGATAGGTATGGAAGGAAATTACCTTTCATTTTTAGTTCATTGTTTACAGTTTTGATTTGCTTTGCAACTATTCTTTGTACTAATGTTTATCAGCTACTGATTATGAGAGGATTTATGGGTGTTTTTGTAGGTTTCTTTGCACCTTGTTGTGTAACTTTATTATAAGAAATAACTCCAAACAACTTAAGAGGTTAAATGACAGGAACTGTTACTTTAAGTGTTGCAATAGGTTAATTGTACGGTTTTTTCATGGCTTCATTAATATTGGATGGAATAAATGGAAGTTGGAGATGGCTAACTTTTTTAGGTTCATTGCCAGGATTGATTGCTTTGATACTGTCTTTAATGTATATTTAAGAATCTCCTAGATACTTACTATTAGAAGGTAAGTATTATGATGCTTTTTAAACTTTAAGATTGATGATAAAGACTAATAAAACTACAGAAATTAATTTATCTATTGAAATTGAACATAAATTAGTAATATGGTCATTATATATGAATAGTATAGCTAAAAAAACAGAACATGCTTCCTTTAAAAGTTTGCTCAATGGAGACAGATTATATATTTCAATAGTTTTATGGAGTATTTGGTTTTTACTATGTTTTTCTTATTATGGTAATTTAATGACTATGCCTTAAATACTATATTAACTTAAAGATAATTAATCATAATTGTAGTAATTAGTCTATGCTTGTCTAAGCGATATACTAGGTGCTATCTTGGCTACTTTAATTATTGATATCAAAGGATTAGGTAGAAAGAACTCATTAATCATTGGGTTCTTAATAGCAACAATATTTTCATTTTTATAACTTTATTATTATGAAAAGCATTTTGCAATTTTAGCAATTTTACAAAAAATGTTTTTATCAATGAATTACATCTTCTGGTATAGTAATATTAATATTAAATTAGTTATTAATTAACTACTGAACTTTATCCTACTAAATTAAGAACTACAGGATTAGGGACAGCAGTAGCTATAGGTAGATTAGGTGTCATATTAATGCCATGGTCTTGTATGATTGTATCCTAATATTCAATCATTGCTCCATTTCTTCTATTTTCCATAGCTTCCTTTTTAGGAAGTATTTTTACTTGTTTCATTCCTTTTGACACACTTGGAAAGAGTTTAGATAACAATAATTGATTAATTAATATAATAATAAATTATAAATAATACAAATAAATCATAGTTTTTATTTTTAAGAGTAATGAGATCCTCTATTTATTCTTTAATCCATCATCTTAAATTTCAAAATTCTTAATCATAACTTCGAATTAAGTTATTTTTTTTATATAATCTGTAGAATTTAAGATATTATTCATAAATATTTAACCCTTAGTTTTCAATTTACAATCTGTTGATCATTTATTCTAATGATAATAATTTCATTTTCTATCTATTTTCCTTATATTGAGACTACTTATAGGGGTTTTTTTATGATGTCATAAAATTAATTTATATATTGTAAATTGAATTCATCAATAAAATAAAAATAAATCAAATGTAGTTCACTGAATTTTTTTGGTTATTATATCTTATCTGTCTATAATTAAATCATACTAATTGGAGAAACTGATTAAGGTTAACAAATAGGGTGTATTTTAGCAATAAATTATGTGATATTTCTATCTGTTTATGGAGTTCTATTATTCTGATTATTCATAAATTTTTGGTTGAGTAGATTATGCTGCCTGAATTCTTTAGATTGAATAATTAGGTATATAGATATGAGTTTAACTGTTTCTAAAAGGGACTTATCTTAAATAGGGAAAAAGTGCCTAAGCATTTTTAGATATATATTGTCTGCTTTTAGATCGAATAAGAAGATCTAATTTTTCATTTTAAATATTTAATTTTATTTTTTTGACTTAAAAATATACTTTCAAAATTGATAATTGAAGAAACTAGTTATTTAAATAGTTCATTTAGTGAAATTTAAAAATATTTAAAAACAAATTAATTTTGTATTCTGTATTCATAATAAAATTTAAGACCACCAATATGAAGATACATTATAATTTTTAATTATTAGTTTATTATAAATTATATAAGTTAATTTTTGAATTTTATTAAATTTATTTAAAATGAATGAAATAATTAATATACTACTTATAAGATAAGCCTATTACAAAACATATTTTTTTCAATAATATATTTTTTAATCAGTTATAATGAAATCTAATTATTAATCATTATTTGTGTAAGGAATGTTATTAACTTTTAGCAATTCATGTCCAAATCCTATAAATTTAGTATTATAGTTTTAAGATCTATAGTATTATATGGTTCTATCGTAATATCCTCCACCATAACCTATTCTATGTTTATTTTAAGGATCAAAGCATAACAAAGGTACCTTAATTAATTAATTATGTTTACAATACAAAATTATGGGATTTCATAGTTTTTTTGTATTGGTTCTAATATTTTAAATTTATTCAATTATAATTCAGTTTTATTCTATATGAAAATTGAAAATAATAATGGTTCTGTTTCTTTTTATAATATCGGCAATAAAATTTTATTTGTATTCAAATAAGGCAAAATACTTAAAATATTTAATTCATTGAGTAAAGGGTAATAAATAGAAATAGATGATTCTGGTTTGATAATGTTTTTCAATTATTGAACATATAATTCAGGTTATATCTTTATATCTTTTCGTATTTGTTTATATAATATTCTTAATTCATTTTTCATTTTGTTAGCAATAATTTTAATGATAAAAAAAATATTATGCAATTCATAATTGTATTAATTTTGTGTACAACCAAAAATAAACAAACCCAAATCAAATAAGGGACGCAATATATTATTATTCTTATTCAGTTTGGGATTTATAAATCAATACACTAAATATAGAGACTATATGTCTAACATATTTTTAAATTAATAAGAAATAGCTGACTTTCGCAAAAATAAACAATTAGAAGTAGACAAAAAATTATTAAAATATCATGAGATCAATATGAAAAGAAATTAAGATACAGAAACTATAGTAATTATTGGAGGAGGTATCATAGGATTAAGTTAAGCATTAAAATTATTATAAAAAGGTTATTCTGTTATAATGATTGAAAAGGAATAATTTATTTCAACTAAATGTAGTGCTTTTAATGGAAATATTTACAATCCCTACTTATTTAATCCATTAATATCTAAATATTCAATAAAAACTATGTTTGATAATTATATAAACCCTACTGATACATCGACTTAAAGATTCAGTTTTAAATGTCTTTTAGAAACAGGAGCTATAATATGGTTGATTAATGCATTAAGGTTGAGTACATCTGATTAAAAATTTGATTAATCAATTTAAGATATGACTAAGTTAGGGTAGATTTAAGAATAGGAATTTGAGAAAATCAAAAAGTTGGGAATTCTTGAAAATCAATTAACTGCTTAAGGAGAATTGAGTTTTTATAAATCAGTAGAATATGGAAAACGAATAAGTTAATCATTTAAATTAGCAGGTATTGAATTTTAAGAAGTTGATAATACTAACTTTAATTAACATGAAATAGATAGGAAACTATTTGAAAACTATCCTTATGTTATTAAATTAGATAAAGAAAATAATTTAGATACTAAATTATTATCAATAAACACCTTGAAATATTGTTAAAAGCATTATCCAAATAAATTTAATATATTTTATGGAACAGAATTTTAAGAATTCATAATGAGTTATAATAGATATGTTTTAGGAATAAATACTAATAAAGGGTATATGAAATTAAATTATTGTTAGTGTAATATTTGGAGATAAATTTATAATCTGTGCTGGATTACATAGTAAATACATAGCTAAAAAATTGGGTGTAACATTACCAATAATGCCTTGTAGAGGATGGGTTATTGAATCTGAATTACCTTAATTTGCAAAGGAATCTGTTTTAGATAAAATGGTGCTTAAATTACCTACATTATCTATTACAAATCTTAATAATAAATTAAGAATATCAGGTTGTTAATTAATAGATTAAGAATATAAATCTGATGATCCTATTAATGAATGGGGTGCTTAGATTTTAATAAAATAGATGAAAGAGTAGTTTAATATTGATTTGGATCCATAAAGTATTTCAGTTAGAGATTGTTGTAGACCCTTAACACCAGATGATAAAATTATATTGAGTAAATTGTAGTTAAATAGAAATGTTTATATAAATGCTGGACATGGGTCTAGAGGAATGAGTCAATGTCATGGTTGTGCAGAAATAATATATTAATTAATTTAGGGTTAAAATAAGGAGGAATATTCAGCCTTTGATTTAACAAGGTATTTATTTGTTTGAAGTATATATATATATATATATCGTTAAAAATAATAAAAATGAGTTAATATGAACGAATAAGACCTATCGTATTTTAAAAAGCTCCAGAAGTGAAATAGGTGAGATCAAATTCATTAGCTGTTCGATCATCTCCTTCAAAATGTTAATTAGATTTATCTTTCGATTTATAAGTTAATTCAACAACTAACAATGCAAATCAAGCATTAAAAGATATCAACAATTATAAAAAACTTTATGTAAGTGAATCATGTTAAAATAATAATAAAGAAAATTAATTATCTGGAAAGCATTTTTCATTTAAGGCTGATGAAAATTAATATTTGAAATAAAGAATTAAACAATTAGAATCTTAGAATAATAACTATGTTACTGAAAATAAAAAATTGGCTCATGTTTTGGATTAATAAATTCAATTAAATTAATCACTACAAGAATAGTAACAATCAAAAAATTAAATTATCAAAAAATTAGAAGATGTTTAGAAAATGAATAAATATTAATAATCAAATAATACAGATCTTAAATAAATTAATGATTAATTGATTATATCTAAAAAAGTAGTTAATGATTTAGAAGATAAAGTCTAAATTGTATTAAATGAAAATTAAAAGTTAAGCGAATTAAATGAAAGATTCTAATTTACAGAAAATTAATTAAAGATTGATGTCGAAAAATATAAAAGTAAATGCTCAATATTAGAGAGTAAATTGAAATAATAATAGTAATTTATATTATCATTATATAGAGATGAATCAAAATGTTTAGAATTATAAAGAAAAATAAAAAAATAGAATGATTAATTAGAATAATTGGCTAGAGAGAACTATTAGTTGAAATAATAACTCATTTAAAATAATAATCAAATATCTCAATAAGATGATAAATAGTTATAATATAATAATAAGTATATATATATATATATGAGTTTAGTGATAAATATAAAGAGACAATTCAAGAATTGGAATGTTAAAATTAATACTTATAATAAATGATAGGTATTGACTAACAAAAGATGAATAATTTAGAAGATAAATTAAGTTTGTTGACCAAAGAAAATTATAGACTAACAGAAATTGTCAAAAATCGTCATAAATAGCAATGAACAAAATTTATAACTATTTTTGTTATTTAATTTAAAGAAGATTAAATTAAATGATAATATTGATTTAAGTTCAATATCTATAAACTGATCCATAACCAAATGTTGGTGCAACATAGCTATAACTTGGAGCATATCCATATGTTGGAGCAACATAGCTAGTTCTTAATGGAGCTACTGGTGCTACTGGTACTACAGGTGCAGCATAACTGTAAGAAAGTGGTGATGCATATGAAACTTAAGCAGGAGGAGCTCTTCTAACCTATAAAGAATTAATTAAAATTGAACTTCTCTTTCATATTCTAAATAATCAACTCTTGGTACATTCTTTTCAACAGGTACATAATCGATTTATTTTTCATATGAAACTTAAGGAATATATTCTTTTTAATATTCCACTGGATAATAATCAGTCACCCATTTTTATCTTGGAACCTACGTGTTAATTTATAATTTACTTAAAAAGTTCTGACTTCCTCTTCCATTTCTACTACTGGCTTTTGATATGGAACATATTCGACTCTTGATTCACCTCTAATTGGAGAGTAAGCTGGAGAAGCATAAGAAACAGGAGCTGCATATTATACTGGTTAAACATATGAGACTGGGGCTCCATATCCAACTAATAATTAGTCTAATTAAGTATTACCTGGAACTGGTCTAGCAATTGATGTTGCTAATGGAGAAGCATATGAAACACCTAAAGGAGCATAGGAGTACATTTTAATATTAATATTGACAATAAAATTTATTGATGTTTTATTTTAACATGAAATATCAAAACCAAAAAAATTTGATAAATTATTTAAATTAAAATAAAATTCGAAAGATAGTTAATGTCTTTTATATCAATTATTAGACTTTATAGTTACTTTCGATACATTAACATTTATATACATCAAATCATCTCTATATAATCTAATTATTGGAGATATTATGTTATAAAAACAAGCCTTATTGATTTCCACCATATTTAAATATTTATAAAAATATACAACCATATAATTAATTAAGCATTTAATTAAGTTTGTGATATTTCCAACTGATTATAAAACTTAATATTATTTAATATAAACTATTTTTTGTTAATATGTCGGAATATTTTAGAAAGTATATCAAAAAAGAGCATTATGCTAATCATTAGTATTAGTTTATAATAAAATTATAGCTCAAATCTAAAATTTAAAACATCCTTCAGAAATTGCATATTGGAAGTATTTAACAATTATTAAATCAGGCTTTTAAAAGAAGATTATGGAAAGAGACAGAAGGGGATGATTGGGATATAATGTGGGCTGAAAAGGAATGGATTCATGAAGTCTTGGATCATACTCATCTTTAATCTAATTAAAAAATAAATCATTTCAGAAATCATTACGAAGTATTAACAAAACTAATTAATTAGTTAACAAGAAAAGATTTAATGATAAAGAATTTTAAAAGGTATAAGAAAAATTTAGAAAGAGAAGGAAAATAAGAAGAAGCAAATAAGTAATTAATGCATTAATTAATACAGTTATAATTTCTTTCCTCTAACTTTCCACTTACCTAGTGAATACCCAATATTTGTTGAGGAATTTAAAAGACAATCCACCAATAGTGATACTAAAACAGCTTGGATAATGAAGCCTGTATTAATATTGATTTATTTTTAAGATTGGTAAATCTTAAGGTAAAGGTATATTCATCTTCAACAAAATTCAATAAATATCTTAATGGAAAAACACTTTACGATATAATTAAGATAATCCATAAGCAGAAGCTTATATAGTTTAAAAATATATAGCAGATCCATTACTTATTGGAGGCAAGAAATTCGATATGAGAATATATTTATTATGCACTTCTTACTAGCCTTTAACATTATATTTATATAGAACAGGATTTGCAAGATTTACACATCATCGTTATGATAGTGAAGATATTTCAAATACATGTATTATTTATATATTTAATATTTTTAAGATGTTCATTTAACTAATGTAGCAATTTAAAAGACATCTGATAATTATGATGAAAAACTAGGTGGAAAATGGAATTTATAAACATTAAAACTATATTTAATGACTAAATATGGTTAAGAAAAGGTTGCTGAAACCTTTTATAATATTTAAATGCTTATGATAAGATCACTTTAAGCAGTTTAAAAGATTATTATTAATGATAAACATTGTTTTGAATTATATGGATTCGATATTTTATTGGATGCTCAACTAAAACCATGGCTATTAGAAGTAAATGCAAGGTATTTAATCTAATAAAAATTTAAGTCCTTCTATGACTTCCAATACTCCTGTAGATTTTGAATTGAAGTGTGGTTTATTGGATGATGTATTTACAATAATTGATTTGGAGAAAGTATTAACAGGTAATGAAGAATAAATTGGAGGATTTGATTTGATTTGCAAAGGCAATCCAATTAAATTACCTATTAATAGCACATTTACTACTTATTTAGGTGCTTTTAATAACAGACAATAATAATTAAAAAAGATTGCAAAATCTACTGCTATCAGATTAGCTTAAACATATTAAGAAAGTCAAACGAAAGCAATTGAAATTGGATCTAAAGGATAAAAAGAAAAAGAAGAAAAAGATAAATAAATGAGAAGTTCATCTAAAGGACCTTAAGTTATGCAAGTATTAATATATATTTAACTTTAGAATGGAGGTAATGGAAATAATAAACCTAATAATTTGACTAAATAAAATACAATTATTAAAAGAAATACTACAAATTTACCTGCTTTAGGAACTGTATAAAATAAAAGTAACATTAAAAGATAACCATTATAAAATGCTGGATAATAATAATAATAAAATTAGTAATCATAATCAAATTCAAGCAAAAAGTAATTTATTTTATTTATTTAGAAATAATCCTAATGAAGACTCAATGTTGAGTGCTAATCAAAAATTGTAAAAATTAACTTAAGAAAGTAAAATAAATTAGTTTTAACCTTATAAATAATAATCATAATATAATGAAGTTATGGGTATGGGTGTGGTTTCACGAAATCTTTAAAAAAACGAAGAATGAATTAATATAGTTTTCTAATTCTAAATTATTTATTTATTAATAACCCAAATATTTCAAACTAAATATAAGTATTTTTTGATTACTTTCTTTATAAAATTTTTTATAATAAAAGTAACGCAACTACAAATAATTGTTATATTTAATGTATAACTATAGGTCATTTATAATTTCTTTTTGATTTCTTGAATCATCTAAAAAAACAATTATTTCTCACTTCTCCCATCATCCTATTTGCTTTATGAGTTTGATATTTCTTCTATGAGAGTTTATTTAATTTCTGATGTTCAATTAATTATAGTTTTGTTTTTTTCTGAAATTTTACTTTTCAATTAATAAACCCATTTTTGGTAATTGTTTGATTTAGTTTCTTTATTAGCTTCCTTCTAATTAGTAAAAATTGATAAATATAATTATTTGTTTCATCCAAACAATAATTAATATTTTTCATAAAGTCCCAGTAAATTCATTTATTCATCCAGTAAAAGATTCCAAGCTTGTAGATTAACATTTTCATAAGCTTAACAAGGTTTATTAAAAGTATTCAGGAAACTATATATTCTAAATTAATATATGATTAGAATAAAGATGTTAATTAAAATAAAATTCATTAAATTTTTAATTATAAGAAAATAATTCTGCGAATTTTCTTTTGAAATATTAGAAATGAATATTTTAGATTTCAAACAATAAATAGATCCAATTCCTTTTTGTCAATGAACCAATATAATTAATTTAAGTGAAATAAGTAAATTCAACTAATCATCTTTTAAATTAAAATACATGTAAAACATAAAAACTAAATAAAATAGGGATTAAATTTAGAAATCAAATCATTTCCAGATCCTTATATTAATAGTAAATATCATTGAACTTAATAAAAATAAATAAATTTCAAAGGTTTTAAAATGCCTTTGTAAATTACTCTCATCAATATAATTACTAAATTGTATTATATAATTATTTAAAATGCTGTATCTTATTATTTTAACTAATTATAATCAATTAAGAAATTAATGAGCTTATATATAAATATTCAAGATTTAATGAAATACGCCAAAATATCAAATTAAGTCAGATAGGCCTTTATAAAAAGGATATCTGAAAAGAAATGTACAATAAGACAAGCAGCAAAGTAATTTGGCATCAAATTTTCAACAGCCAAAGCAATTTTATCAATTTATAGACACGAGGGTAGGATTGGGAAAAAATAAAGACGACAAAGAAAGCTTTTAAACAATAATATTTCAGAAAAGGAAACTTAAAAATCTCTTAAAGAAGAACACACAGAGACCAAAGAGGAGTTTAAAATAGACTAAGCTCCCCAAACTACTATTAACGACGGCCTAACCATACAACACCTACCGCAATATAATTATGACTGGACTTACTTGCAACATTTTTGGATGGTAACCTACATGAATCAACAATTACAATACCAAAATTTTTAAAGATTTATTGGATATTGAGATACTAATATAAATGAATAGAAATTTTTCAAGAAATTTTATTTTTTTCATTATTGTTGTAAATATGATTTATGAAATATACTTTGAATGAAAAAGTTAAACCCGATATATTTTCTTCATACTCAATCCGATTGTGAAAAATCATATGTAAATCACATTATTCTTTACCAATATGTTCTTATTTAATGTAAAAAAAAAGATATTACAAATTTAAAAAATTTTATAATATGAAATGATCATATACTTTCTAACAAATAGTCTATTTATGATTTTGCAATCTTCGAGTATGTCTATAGCCTTAAATCCATGATAGGAATCCAAAATTTCAATAAATTTGTTATGAAAATTTCAGTAATTTTAAATAGTTCTTTCTACACATTAATAAATTAATATTCATGAAATTACGTGTTGATTGTAATTGATTATTAAATATCCAAAACTTGTAACAAAAAATCAATTAATATTTTCAATATGAAATTTCTGGCAAATAAAATGAA